TGACTTTTTCCTCTAATATCACCATCTCCACGCAGAAATCTCTTGCAAAAGCACATTCTGTAACTCAGAGTGATGGAGCTGTTTCATCTCCTAAATCAACCCGGTGTCTTGTCTCTGCAAAACTACATGCCGACTTCCTCAACAAACCACAGCTGGAAGGCAGCCTCGCCCGCCGGAGCCCTCCCAGGTGCTGTAGCAGGAGGGCGTCCCGAAGTAGCAGTGGGGTGTTCTGAGATCTACATTAGCACAATTTTCTGCCTTCCAATGCCACATCCAGTGGGCTTGGATGGAGACAAGCAACCACAGCTGCTCTTTCCCAGGCCGTTTGTGATTTCTCGCTCTCTCCACACATATACCTGTCCTGTATATGTAGGTGTACAAACGCTGCCCCACCCACCAGGAAAGCTGCAAGCTTGAACAGCTCTGGCCTGGGATGAAAAGCCTTTATAGAAGGCTCTACGGGCTGCTGAGCAGATGCAACTTAAAACCGGTCCCACCAGTGTGACAAGGAGACAGATTCAAACTCCTAATAGGTTTCTCCAAGTGTGACCGACACAAACAGCCCAGTTTCCTCTAAGAAGCACAGGAAAGGTCAACCTAGTCAAGTGGCAGGGGCAAGACACCACTGGAAACCATTAGATCTGTTGGCATGTGGGCATCAGGTGTTGAGAGGAAATGCCAGCATGTAGTCGTGTAAGAATGGCAGGGTGGGCAAGACTTCCCCAGGGGGGTAGCATCCAAGTTGGGATGAGAACTTGCCGGAAGGATAGTTTAAGAAGCTAAACCTTCAATAACATTTTAAATGTCATAAAATTTAAGATCTCTTATATATTAAAAATATTTAATATTGGGAAAATGTTAGGTATTTAGATATATCTCAGAGATTAAAAGCAAACTTTTAAGTGAAATTGTGATAACATATTCCCTACCAATATTGCAACACCCTGTTTATAACTAATTGCCTGAATGTAAATAAAATTACCTGGCAACTAGAAAACAAAAGGTATAAAACCATGATCTCTCTACCTTGCCAAAAAAAAAAAAAAAGGCACTGCATAAATATAACCTACCTAACATATAAAGACTTCAAGTGGCCAAATAATGTAATGCTCACTTCTGTCATTTATTAACAAGCTATTCACAGTCATGGGAAACGAGTATAGGAATAAATGACTCAAAAGACACAAGAGACACAATCATCAAGTTAATTACTCTGGCACCATTTGACCCAGCAATTTCACTCCTAGATAAATATCTATGAGAAATAAACATCTACATACATAAACTTGGACACAGATGTTCATAGCATTATTTACAATAGCCAAAATGGAGAAACAGCCCAAATGCCATCAAGTGATGAGTGGGTAAATAAAACACGGCATAGCCATACAATGGAACATTACTTGGCAATAAAAAGGAAAGAAGCACTGATACATACAAATAAAAACAAATAAACATTGAAAACATTAGAACATAAGGAAGAAGCCAGTTCCTGAAGATCACATATTGCCTGTTTCCATTTACAGGAAAAGTCCAAGACAGGAAATCTATAGACAGAAAGCACACCAGTGCTTGCTCCAATCTGGGACATGGAGATGGGGAGTGACTACTAAGGGGGCAGGAGGTTGTTTCTGGGGTGACAAGTTCTAGACTTAGGTTGTGGTGATGGGTACTGAGCTCTGAATTACTAGTCATTGAACTACAGCCTTAAGTAGGGAAATTTCATTACATGAATTAAATCTCAATAAAGATGTTTAAAGAAAAAATGATTGCATAACTCATTTTTTGTTTTTAAAGAATGAGTTGGGCTTTTAGATTTAACTAAAACTGAGCACAAACTGGATTGGCACATAGTACTGCAGATGTCCACAGGACAGAAGAAAAGGCTAACTAACAGAGGCAGGAAGAACAGGTACAAGGTGACTTAACCCAGACTTTGGGGAATCAGCTGATTGATGCTCACCCACAAAAATCACAAACACACCAAAAATGGGTTCCAGATGCCAAATCTAAAGACCAGAAATGCACCCACATCTCCCCCTGAAATCAGCAGCCTGGAGAGTACACTCAGTTTTTTGGCAATACATAGTGCTCTTCACAGAAACACAGTTATCAAAGAGAAGGCATTTCATCTAGCAAGTTAGTTCCATATTCTTGTCCTACAGAAAGAAGAACGCTTGTACCAGACATAGGCTACAATTTCCAGTTGCCCAAATGTCAGCTTAATGTCAAGGGGCCTCAAATATACCACAAGATCTCTGATGACCTCTGGTGGTGGCAACTAAGATTGCTTTGCTTAGGATACAGGAGCCTGGAACACCCATGCACAAAGAGTATGGATGGGGGATTTGCTGTTATCATTTGAAAGCCGCAAAGTAGGAGTAAAAGGAATTACAGCCAATGACTATCACACAACGTCCATTCCCTGTGACTTTTAGACATTCCCTATGACTTTTAGGCTCATGAACCTATTTTTCTGTCTTTGTAGCCTTTTGCAACAGAGCCTGGAAGATGTGTATCTCATCCCAGGACTCCATAAAGAACAGTCCCCTACTCTGTTTTACACCCAAAGACACAAGGGTAAGCTGATGGAGAAGGAGCGATCCAAAGAGACGGGCACAGCAGACTTACAGGAGGAGATGTACAGATGTGTGGGCCCCAGCCCCCAGGGCCACATAATCCCAGACCTGTTGTTGTTGTTCGTGGAGTCTCAGATCGTCTGGTTTCCCTACCAGGGCCCCCTCCCCCGGGAAAGTGCCCTTCGAGGCCCTGGAGCCACCTGGGCCTTCCTCCGCTCCCTACTTCCTGTAAGGCTGCACTGAGTCCTTTTATTTCCTTGTGGCCTAGGGAACTGCTTTATAGGAAACTCTGAAGAGAATATCAAAAGTGCACCTGATATATGTATTTGTTTTTAGAAAAATCTTTGCTATATTGGGTGCTTAAGAGTCAAGGATTGCCTTGGAAAAACTGCCATAATCCTAGCCGCTTCCCTATAACGTGTTTTACTAGACATTTGTACCTGATATACAGCCTCATATCATAGAATTATAAAGTTGAACTGCAAGAAAGCATTTTCACGTGTCAAAGGAGGGGGGGCAGGCATGGGCCAACATCATGGCATAGCTGGTAATGCCACTGCCTGCAATGCCAGCATCCCATATGGGCACTGGTTAGTGTCCAGCTGCTCCACTTCTGATTCAGCTCCCAGCTAATGGCCTGGGAAGACAGCAGAGGATGGTTTAACTGCTTGGGCCCCTGCATCCAGGTGGGAGACCTGGATGAAGCTCCTGTCTTCAGCCTGGCCCAGCATTGGCCATTGCAGCCATCTGGGAAGTGAACCAGCAGATGGAAGATCTCTCTCTAACTCTGTCAAATAGATAAATACATCTTTTTTGAAAGAGATAGGCAGAAAAAAATAAGAAATTGAGAGGCAGGGCTTTCAAACTAAAGTAAGCCTATTTGGTCATGCATAATTCAGACACTTTTTTGGTAGTGACCTAAGACAAGGGAAGGCCAGGCTCTCCAACAACCTAATTATCAGGTTATAATAAAAATGCGGAACACCACATGATACCACACCTAGAGTTTCACTAAGCAAATGTTAATAAATAAGCCCAAGCCACTTCTAGAGTCTTCTATGCAAGCTTGAGGAAGTCCCAGCTATCCAAACTCTAAACGAGAGTCTCATTCCACTGATAAAGGACTATGTTCCAAGAATAGCCTTCTGGGGGCCATGGCTTAGTGGGTTAAGCCACCATCTGCAGTGCTGGCATCCCAAATGGGCACCAGTTCAAGTCCCAGCTGCTCCACTCCTGATCCAGCTCCCTGCTAGTGGGCCATCTTCCACTGCATCCCCAGGCACAAGTGCTTGGGCCCCTGCACCCAGATGGGAGACACAGATGAAGCTCCTGGCTTTGGCCTGGCCCAGTCCCAGCCATTGTGACCATTTGCAGAGTGAACCAGTAGATGGAAGATCTTTCTCTCCCCCTCTGTAACTGACTTTCAAATAAGTTGATCTTGGCAGCGGGAGGAGGCAGAGAAAACAGCCTTGTTGGTCTCAGGCTACCAGAAATCCTCAAGGCTGACAAAAGGCTGCTTTCATGGGGACAGAGCTGAAAAACCTGCTCCCAGCCCGGCTGTATCCAACTAGTCCCAGGCATACTGGAAGGCTTTCTAAAATACTTCAGTCAGTACACACCTCTGAAATGCCTTTACTTACACCAAACAGTCTAGTGCTAACATTCATCCAGCTACTTAACAAGCCACCGGGTGCTCTGATAATAACTAATGTCTGATATTTACATGCTAATTAGCCAAGGATCCAATAATAACAGAGGTACTGTGACCTCTCCAGTCTAGAGCTAACCAGTGACCCTCAGGATATTCATTCCTGATCAGAACACCAGCTATAAGTGGCAAGTGTAATTTCAACTAACAAATACCACACAGTCTACGCGGAAGTATTTGAAAGAAAATTACAGTCTTAACCCGAGGGAAGAGGCAGAACGGGAACAAATCCCCTGGGCAGTCACCGGCCACTGCTGCATGAGTCTTGTCCATGTCCCTAAATACTGCGACCATTGTCATGTCACGTGCATTTTTTTTTCCAGACCCATGTGTTCATTGAACAATCATTTACCAGGCGCCTAGCTATGTACCACATACCCATTTGGAATCAGATTGTCCAATCATTCCAAGGTGGATTTAAAACACTAGAACAATGTTCAGAACTCAGCAGCTGCAGACACCTACAAGTTTTTGCAAAACAAAAACCAGTCCCACAATGGTGGGAAGGTGTTAAGGCCCCCAGGGCTGCACTGCTTCGGCCCCAAGGAGAGCACAAGCTGCAGAAGAGTTTGTTATGTAAGCCATAAAATAAACTGCTTATTTTTCACCTTTAAGGGAGGAAAAAGAAAAGCAAGCGCAAGATGATTATGTAACATTTTACTCTATTTTAGCTCTAAGAACCAATGAGAATGGCATTATCAGGCTCCATTTACCTTAATTGCGATTTTGTGCACCGTGAAAAAATCGTGCATAGGAATTCTTGACGTTGCTTGCTGGTCCAGAGGTCAAACCAATGACTTATGAGAGCAACTCTTTCCTGAAAGAGCTAGAGGGGAAGAAGAGATGTTTGGCCGTGCAGGCTGGTATGTTCTTGGTTGCCAAGTGGTCTTTAGACAATCTACTACTATCCTCACAGCTAATATTTGCACAGCACATTCACAGCTCACAAAGCACTTTCACCTGTGGCATAGGGGGCTCCCCTTACATTTTCAAGCTGTTCTTGTCCAGGGCTACGGACAAGACTGGGCTTGTTGGGTGAGCTGGTCTAGACTCAATTACACACAAGCCTAGGGAAGTCCCCTGGAAAGCAAAGAACGATTCCTGACCCTCGGTTCCATCTAGACTCACACAGCCAAGGGAACAGATTCCATACACCTCATCTTGAAAGCTCCAGGCTGCACAGGACCACGTGAAGTAGCCATGGTTTTAACCTACAGCCCTGAAAGTCCCTAACTATTGCTAACTAGCCACTGTTAGCAGTGTGTCCAAGGAAACCACGTACCATGGTCTCCGTCCAGCTTTACGCAGATTGGCTCAAACTCACTGTCTTTGTTATAGGCAGGGTCTCTCCCACTTGGGGCTGACTCCACACGAGCCCTGAAGACCCAGTGTGCTTTCTCCACTAAGACCTGGCAGAGCTGCCCCGTGCCATTCAGTGACTCTTTCCTGCGTTCTCTTTTGAAGGAGTGGGCACCCCCCAGCCACAGGGGACCATACAGGTGGCTTAGGAGATAAGGTGGATTGGAGAAATACATGCGAACATTCCCACACCACCATCGTCCAAAGCACCTTTCTCCCACATGGACATGCACGCGTGTCCTGTAGGGGTCCAGTCTGTCCCTGGCGGAGTCAAAGGGGAGGCAGATCTTCAGCTTCCCATAAGGTAGGAGCTGGGACTGGGATGGTAACAGATCATCTCTGCGACAAACTGGGTTTACTGTTTAAACAGACTCAAAAACTAAACTCTTATTAGAGGGGTTTTCGTCAAAAATACGGCGACACGAGATCTAACACATCACAGTGAAATTAACTCGGCAGATTAAACTTTTACTCTGGAGTATGTAACTCACCTGTCTATTTAAGGACTTGTTTTTAAAAGGTGTCCAGGCACTGAATCTTGTGTGGGAGCTCTCCATTTCCGGGGTTTTCTGGAAGGAACTCATAGCTGATGATTTAGCAAATTATGTTTATCCGCTTCTAGGAGCTACAGGCTTGCTTCAATAGATGTATGATTAAGATCACCTGGAGAGAGCCAATATATTAATGTCCTTTTAGGAATTATGGAATTATAACACAAACATAAATGCACATATATAGAATTACAATTCATGCATATGAGACATATGATAAGCCATACAAACATGTGCAAGGAACCCATGAACTCCAAATCATTGCAATGATTCTGTCCTTATCTACCCACACACTCAAGTTTGAATCTAAACAAGAGTTGTGTTTTATGTTGCTGGGAAAATAAGCAGTTGATAAAAACGTTTCAGGAAGTACTATTAATGACCCAGAAATTGGCATATGGTGATGGCATTGTGACACATCGGGTTAAGCAGCCACCTGTGATACTGGCACCCATATTGCAGTACCAGTTCTAGTCCCAGCTAATCTACTTCCCATCCAGCTTAATGCTAACATGCCTGGGAGACCCAGGTGTTAGAGCTCCCCAAGGGTGCACTTCAGTCTCAGGAGAAAGAAAGCACTGGACGAGTGTGTTCTTGGGAGACACAGGTGGAATTCCTGGCTCCTGAATTCAGCCCAGCCCAGCCCAGCCCAGCCCTGGCTGTTATGGTCAATTGGAGAGTCAGTCAACAGGTGGCCAAAGGATGGGCGAGCTCTGTTTTTCTCTCTCCCTTTCTGGCACTTTGCCTTTCAAATAAATAACTTGAAAAAATGAAAAAAAATGCCATAATTCGTTGTCAGGAACATTTTTTCTTACCCTATAAAGAATTTGAAGTGCTTCTACAGGGAACTTTACCTGTGCACCTTTTGAGGATGGAAGTCAAAGAGGACAGAGAATGAAATTAGGCTAACATATTAGCTGTCTATCGCTGCATAACAAATTACCACGAAATGGAACAGCTCAACACAACAAACACTTATCTCAACATTTTTGTGGGTCAAGCACGGCTTAGTGGGGTACTGTGTTAATCTGTTAGGCTGCCATAACAAAACATCACTGAAAGACTGGAGGCGTAGACAGAAATTTTCTCCCCGTTCTGGAGGCTGGAAACCTGAGATCAAGGTGTTGCGGGGGGTCTTCAGTTCTTACCATTCCTTTTCTCTCTGCGGGGTTCGTGCCTCGTGTTCACGAAGAATGAGGATGCCCGGACAAGCAAGGTTGCATGAATCAGAAGTTAAGAAAACCATAGTGAAGGAGGAAAAAAAAAAAAAAAACTTAACAGCACCGAGAGGACCCCTAAAGAAAGCAAAAGAGAAAGGAAAACCGCCAGCAGCACTGAGAGGCCTGCAAGAGGGAGCCACGTTGAAGGCTGATTGGGGCTTTATAGGCTGTAGGCGGCCGCTCTGAGGATGGGTCCGGGAAAGGGCTGGTTTTCAGTGATTAACTGGATGATGGTTCCAACTGAGGCTCAACAGGGGACACATGAAACTTTCCCCCACAAAAAGACAGAATTCTCATTACCTAGATCCGTGACAGCAGCCCAGAAAAACCTTGATTCCAAGGACTAGCACGTGGCATCCACCTCCCTCCCAGAAGCTGGTGGCTTGGGTTTTCTTATCTCCAGAGAGTGGGGAGGGGCACCCTGGTCCCTGGCTACCCAGCTGGGCACCTGTCTCTCCATCAGAGTCCCTGTCAGTGTTGGTTTCTGGTGAAGCCTCTCTCTCTCTGGCTTGTAGATGGCCGCTTTCTTGCTACGTCCTCACGCGCTTTCTTCTGTGTGATGCAGAGACAGCAGGCTCTGGTGTCTCTTCCTGTTTGTATGAGAACACCAGTCTTCGCAGATTAAGGCTCCACCTCTTTATGACCTCTTTCTGGGCTGTATCTTCAAATACAGTCACTCTGGGGGGTTAGGACTTCAACAAGTGAATTTGGGGCGGTTACTAATGTCCTAACAGATGCTTTTGTGTCCAAGTCTCTCGTAAGGCTACAGCCAAGGGGTGAGCCAGGACTGCAGTCTGACTTGAAGGTTCTGAATTCATTCAGGTAGTTGTTGGGAGGATCCAGCTCCCATGAGCTGCTGCCCTGAAGGCCTCAACTCTCACGGGCTTCCTTGCCGCTGGGTCTCTCTGTGGGCAGCTCCTGGGACAGCTGGCTTCCATCAGAGTGAGCGAGTGAGGAAGCAGGAGGGGGCACACAGAGTGAAGTGTAGAGCTGACCTTGGACGTGACATTGTCACTTTTGCCATATTTTATTGGTTAAAAGCTAATAGATATAGCCCTTTCTTGAGTGCTGAGAATGATACAAGGGCATGAACAGTAATATGATCTTAGCCACCTTCTGGGTCAGTTCTTTCCTCTCCATATGCAGAACACAGTCACCCACATTTTTTTTAAGATTCATTTATTTATTTGAAGGGAAGAGTTACAGAGAAAGAGGCAGAGAGAGTGAGAGAGGTCTTCCATCTCCTGGTTCATTCCTCAAATGGCCACAACGGCTGGAGCTGCACCAATCTGAAGCCAGGAGCCAGGAGCTTCCTCCAGGTCTCCCATGTGGGTGCAAGGGCCAAGCTCTTGAGCCATTTTGTACTGCTTTCCCAGGCCATAGCAGAGAGCCGGATTGGAAGTGGAGCAGCCAGGTCTCGAACCAGCACCCATATGGGACGCCAGCACTGCAGATGGCAGCTTTACCCTCTATGCCACAGCACTGGCCCCAGCTCACCCACTTTTTAGGGAAGACAGAAGTTCCAGCTCGTGAACAATTTTAGCTCAGAGCTCAGGAGTTGTGATTCACACAGTCCCTACTAATCCAGACACAAGTCCTCTTGATCCAGAGACTCTATTTAGTTCAGAGGTATTTCTGGGGCAGGCATTTGACGTGGCCGTTAAGATGCTGCTTAGGAAGCCTGCGGTCCATTTTGGAGTGCCTGCCTCAGGTCCGAGCCCCACTTCCAGTTCCAGCTTCCTGCTAATGTGAACTCTGGGAAGCAGCAGGTAATGATCCAATTGCTTGGGTCTCCGGTACCCACGTAGGAGATCTGGATTAAGTTCTGGGCTTCCGGTATTTTAAAAATATATTTATTTATTTAAAAGAGTTACAGAGAGAGAGGGAGAGATAAAGAGAAAGAAAGGGCCGGCGCAGCGGCTCACTAGGCTAATCTTCCGCCTTGCGGCGCTGGCACACCGGGTTCTAGTCCCGGTCGTGGCGCCGGATTCTGTCCCGTTTGCCCCTCTTCCAGGCCAGCTCTCTGCTGTGGCCAGGGAGTGCAGTGGAGGATGGCCCAAGTGCTTGGGCCCTGCACCCCATGGGAGACCAGGATAAGTACCTGGCTCCTGCCATTGGATCAGCGTAGCGCGGTGGCCATTGGAGGGTGAACCAATGGCAAAGGAAGACCTTTATCTCTGTCTCTCTCTCTCACTGTCCACTCTCCTGTCAAATAAATAAAAAATAAAGAAAGAAAGAGCTTCCATCTGCTGTTTCACTCGCAGATGGCTGTAATGGCCAGGGCTGAGCCAGGGCGAAGTCGGGATCCAGGAGCTTCTTCCAGGTCTCCCAGGCGGGTGGCAGGGGACTGAGTATTTGGGTCATCTTCTGCTGCTTTTCGCAGGTCATTAACAGGGAGCTGGATGGGAAGTAGAGCAACTAGGATTTGAACCAGTGCCCAAATGGGATGCCAGCATTGCAGGCAACAGCTTAACCCACTACTGTACAATGCTGGCCTCTGGGCTACTGGCTTTGATATGACCCAGCCCTGGCTGTTGCAGGGATTTGGTGAGTGAACCAGGGGGTAGGAAATTTGTTTCTTTCTTTCCATCTCTCTCTTGCTCTCTCTCTTTCTCTCTCTCTCTCTCTCTCCTCTCTTTCCAAAAAAAAGGGGGGGGGGCTGTAACCTGGTCCTTGTCCTGACACACAGGATATGCAGTAGGAGAGTGAAAGGGTAATTGCAATAAATATTTACATTTTCACAAGAGAAAGGTGGCATAGAAAAGAGCCCATAAAGGCCGGCACTGAGGCGCAGCGGCTTAACGCCCTGGTCTGAAGTGCCAGCATCCCATATGGACACCAGTTCGAGACCTGGGTGCTCCACTTCTGATCCAGCTCTCTGCTATGGCCTGGGAAAGCAGTAGAAGATGGCCCAAGTCCTTGGGCCCCTGTACCCGCATTGGAGACCTGGGAGAAGCTCTTGGCTCCTGGCTTCGGATCGACACAGCTCCGGCCGTTGTGGCCAATTAGGGAGTAAACCATCGGATGGAAGACCTCTCTCTCTCTGCCTCTCCTCTCTCTGGGTAACTCTGACTTTCAAATAAAGAAATATTAAAAAAAAAGAGTCCATAGCAATTCTGAAATCTCACTATGGGAGGCTGATCCCCATTATCACTTTTAGCCTCAAAGAATCACATTCTCTTCCAGACCACGATGGTGACTCCTTTCTCAATGCCATGATCTCATAACGTGTCCCAAGCAGGACTATGTGCTACACCTGTTTGGAGGCATCACCACGCTCTCAATATTTTCTCCGGAGATCTGAGCCTATCATGCCTCCTTAGGAAGAGCCAAACCATAGTCACCCTTCCGCGAGATTTTTCCCACCTCAAAGTGTTTGCTGGGTGCTACCCTGTTCCACTCAGATCCTAACAGCAGCAGGGACAGTCATACCCTCAACATGGTCCTTGTCCCTAGGCAGAGGTCTAGAAGCAGCTGCTGCCCTGAGGCCTTCTCAGTCTCCTCTTTACCAGTGAGAAATGTGAACCAGTTGCACCTGCCAGCCTCGCAAGTTGCTGAGTTTCGGGATTGCCTCTGAATTCCTTCTCGTTCCCGCCTGCAAGCCAGGGGAATATTTTCTGAGCTCCTCTCTTGCTTGTAGCATAATGGCACCTGCAGCCAGTGGTAAGGAACTCCTAGTGACATTCATGTCTACTTCCTCACAGAAAGTGCAAGCTCACTAGGGGTACACTATGCCTGTCCGTGTATTACTCACTAAGTTTTCCCACCCATGACGTGGAGCCATCTCTCCAGATCTTCAGCCACAGTTCCCGCTGCCAGGCAGGATGCCAGGGTCACTCGATATAGAGCGATTGCTGTGTTGTGGCAGCACTGTCTCCTAGAACCAATTTCTGTATCTACCCAGCATCTAAGCAGGAAATAACACTAGGTGTACGGGAAATCTCCCAGAGAATAGAGTGTGGGACTGATTCCCAAGTTCTTTAGTGAAGTCAGAATTGCCTTGATGCCCAAACCCAACAGGGACCTCACAAGCAAGGAATACTACAGGTTTCTAACCACAAAAAAATAGCTGCAGAACTCATAGAATGGCGGATGTCCTAAATAGCACTCTGGCCTCAGAATCAGCCCTAAAAGCACTCGGATCTGGCTGAAAAGCCCATGAGAGTATTTCAGGCATGGAAAGCCAAGACACTCTGGCAAAAAGATCTCTGTGAGTGAGATCCCAGTGGAAAGAACAGGTCTTCAAAGAGGGAGGTGCCTTTCTCTGAAGGGAGGAGAGAACCTCCACTTTGACTATGACCGTGTCTAAACAAGATAAGAGTCGGAGAACTCAAGGGGCTTCCATAGCCTTGGAAACTCATAACTGGTGCATAGGGAGATTACTGATGCCATAAACAGGAGTGTCAATTGGTAAAGTCAACAACAGGAGTCACTGTGCACTTACTCCTCATGTAGGATCTCTGTCCTTAACGTGCTGTACACTGAGGCTTAATGTTATAACGAGTACTCAAACAGTATATTTCACTTTGTGTTTCTATGGGGGTGCAAACGACTGAAATCTTTACTTAATGTACACTAAACTGATCTTCTGTAAAAAAAAAAAAAAAAAAGAAAGAAATTATCAATTCCCAACTTGACTCTCACTGGGATAAAACATGACAATAGGTCTGATCTGATTTCATCATCATTTAAAAAAAATCATCTATTATTTTTCACTTTATGTTTCTGTGTGGGAGCAAACTGTTGAAATACTTACTTAAGGTATACTAAGCTGATCTTCTGTATATTAAGATAATCGAAAATGAATCTTGATGTGAATGGAAGGGGAGAGGGAGTGGGAAAGGGGAGGGTTGTGGGTGGGAGGGACGGTATGGGGGGGGAAGCCATTGTAACCCATGAGTCGTACTTTGGAAATTTATATTCATTAAATAAAAGATAAAAAAAAATAGCTGCAGAAAGTATATAAGAGTATGAAGGTGGGCGTTGTGGCACAGAGGGTTAAGCTGCTATGTACGATTCCTGTATTCCACATCAGAGCTCCTAGGATCAAGTTTCACCTCTGTGTTTTCTTTTTGTTTTTTTTTTTGTTTTGTTTTTTTTTTTGACAGGCAGAGTGGACAGTGAGAGAGAGAGACAGGGAAGACAGAGAGAAAGGTCTTCCTTTTGCCGTTGGTTCACCCTCCAATGGCCGCCGCGGCCAGCGCGCTGCGGCTGGCGCACCGGCCGGATGGCAGGAGCCAGGTACTTATCCTGGTCTCCCAGTCTCCCATGGGGTGCAGGGCCCAAGTACTTGGGCCATCCTCCACTGCACTCCTGGGCCACAGCAGAGAGCTGGCCTGGAAGAGGGGCAACCGGAACAGAATCTGGCGCCCCGACCGGGACTAGAACCTGGTGTCCCGGCGCCGCAAGGTGGAGGATTAGCCTAGTGAGCCCCGGCGCCGGCTCACCTCTGTTTCTGACCCAGTTCCTGCTAATGCACACCCTGGGAGGCAGCCAATGGTGGCTCAAGCACTGGGGTCCCTGCCACCCACAGGGGAGACCCGGATGGAGCTCCTTACTCCTGGCTTTCACCTGACCCAGTCCTGGTTGGTACGGGCACTTGGGGAATGACCCAGTGTAAGAGTGATCTCTTCCTCTCTGTTACCCTGCCTTTCAAATAAATAAGATGAATTGTGGGTGATACTGTACCTAGTGGGGAGTCTGCCTGCCCTGCCCAGGCAGGAGGCTGAGAGGGCATGGCACCCCACGCCTCCCGGGAAGGACCCCACAACCTGACTGCTGGCACACGGAGGGAGCCCCGGGCACTTTCCCCACCCCCACTCCCTGTTAAAGGGCCCTGTAATTGCCAATCAGGTAAACAGCTCCCAGGTGTGGCCCAGGCCCATTAGGACCACCTGGAAGGCTATCCTAGCTACGTGACCTTCAAGCTGATTGGAGAAGTATAGCGGCACCAATATCGGTTCTATCCTATAGAATCAGTGTTGCCTTGAATTAGTTATGCCGCTTCTGCCTGCGCTTTAAAAAGTGTGCCTGGTCGTTAATAAAGCGGACCTGTTCACCGAAACTTGTCTCCGGTGCTTCTTGCGGAAGAATGCTGTTGCCCAACCATCCCGGCAGGTGGAGCCTCGCGGGTCGAGCTTGCAATAAAAGTAAATAAACTTTGTGTAAAGGAGCATGAGACGTTGGCACAAGAATAGATAAATAAACTAAGGGAACACATGGATGAGTCTGGGACCAAATGCACACACACACACCACACACACACACACACACACACACGGGGCCTGTTAGACAAAGATGGCACTACAGAACAGTGGGAAAGCGATGACTCCTGTCAGCAATACATGGAGAAGAAGATCTGTCGGGGGACCCAGCTGACCCTCAGAATCATGGGAAATAACAGTTATGGTTTTGAATCAAAGTCAGTGATCACCAAAAAATTAAAATTGGTACCTGGAAGTAGGTATTGCACACTGCAGCTTAAAGCATGGTGTTGAAACTGGGACTGCGTGGAGGTGGAAAGGCCAGGGCGGTGAGAAGCTGATCCGGGGAGTCCAGGAGAGCAGTGACGTCACTACGCAGGTCAGAAGCGAGGCCTGATTTATGCAACAGTGGAAAGTTCCATGACACCATTGCCTCCCTTACTGTGGGTGACAGGACATGCACCACTGAACAGAGAGACCTTCCAGAGAGTCCAAGCAGGATATAGAAAGCACTGACTTGGGGCCCTGTGGCATAGTGGGTAAAGCCACCACCTGCAGTGCTGGCATCCCATATGGGTGCTGGTTTGAGTCTCAACAGCTCTACTTCTGCTCCAGCTCTCTGCTATGGCCTGGGAAAGCAGTAGAAGAAGGCCCAAGTGCTTGGTCCCCTGCACCTGTGTGGGAGATCTTGAAGAAGCTCCAGGCTCCTGGCTTTGGATCAGCCCAGCTCCGGCCATTGCAGCCACTTGGAGAGTGAACCAGTAGATGGAAGACCTCTCTCTCTCTCTCTCTCTCTCTCTCTCTCTCTCTCTCTCTGCCTCTCTGTGACTGTGGCTTTCAAATAAATAAATAAATCTTAAAAAAAAAAAAAAAAAGAAATGTTATAGGAGAGGCTGGCATTGTGGTGCAGTGGGTAA